GTGTGGGGCAGGGGGTGGGTGTGTGGGGTGGGTGGTCAGGGGGTGTGAGGCATTGGGCCAGGGGGCCCAAGCAGCCCCTCACAGGCTGGAACCCTGGCAGCCTGCAAGGGAAAAGCCACGATTTCCTGTTTTTCTCTTTTAAAGAAGAATCCATTTTAAAGTTTGTGATCTTTTCATATATTCTTGCGACTGACTTTTGGGGACTGACTGACTTTCTCAACCCACAGGTTGAGAAATGCTGCCCTAGGGTACTGAAGGAATTGGCAGAGGTAGTTTCAGAGCCATTACCTATGCTCCTGAACAATTTAGTGGGGGTCAGGTGAAATATTGAATGACTGGAAAAGGGCAAATCCATCCGTGGATGGACACCCATTTTTAAAAAAGGGAAAAAATAGATCCAGGGAATTACAGACCATGCGAACTGAACTCAATACCTAGAACAATGATAGAACAGGTCCTCAGTGAATCTTTTGTGAAGTACCTAGAGAAAAACAAGTTTATCAAGAACAATAAACATGGATTTATTAAGAACAAGTCATGCCTGATCATTTGATTTCCTTCTGTAACCCATACAAGCATGCTAAGGCTGGGTGATGTGCCAGATTTTGGGTCCTTGGGGTGCCAGTAGCCCTGGGAGCCCCTCAGGCAGACTGCTGACTGAGGTTTCCCATGGAGAGCTGTGTCGTTTACCCTCACCACCCAGGAATTAGATCTGAACCCAATGAACAAATTATTCTTTATTATACACAACCCATTTATATATAGGAAAAATAAACCAAAATATAATAACAATAGTTAATAATAAAACTAACAATTTAGATAAAATTTACAACTACACCATCGGGTGGATAATTCCAGTGCACTAGGTGCTCCCACATGTGTTAAACAACGTCATTAATCAAATGCACCTTGTTCTAAACCTTTAAAACAGTTTCCCCCCATAACCCAAATGATTTCCTCCTGGTCACAATCCACTTCCCATAACAATAAATGGCAACACAGCTATAACTATGATCCACCACTAGATGGTAGAAGTGAGGCTTCTGCTAGTCCAGGGAAAATGGACTCCTTTAATCCTTCCTGGTAACAGCGAAACAGGCTCTGAACAGCTGCTACAGGCAATAGGCTCCTTTTTGTTTCCTTCTGAAATACACTTCCTGCAAACATTAGTGATAAAGTGTCCCCTCACACACCCATGCTTGTTCATTTTCTCTCAGTCCACATTCTCTGGGGCTGTCTCTCCCACTCAGCTCATCTACCTCTGCAGGTCTCTGACTGTTTCTCCCAGCTCCAGAAAACCTACCAGCTTTGTTTACCAAACCCTCCCCAATCTTTCCTTGGCACCTGTATCCCTGGTTGCACAGCTCTGAATCCAGTGGGGAATCGGCTTTTCACAGGATGACACAGGTTCTCCCTCATCCTGATGCCTGCTCCCTGGGCAAGTTTCAGCTTGTCCCCCCGGCTGGGGACTGAGTCTGTGCCCCCTCTCTCCAGAGCTGGAGTTGGCTCCTTCCAGTTTCTCCTCTTTTTTTCCCCTCCCTCAACTTTGTATGTCTCAGTAGCAGCGAATCAGAGCCCTTGGTCTGGTCACAATTTAAACACTCCAATAAGAAGCATGCACTATGCACTGCATACCATCCTATCTGGTAAAGCTTATGCACCCTCTGCAGAGTTTTGCCACCCTTTCCTTGCAAAGCTCTTAAGCACAGCTCACCCACTTGACTTGCAGCCAGGCAAGCTTTGCAGCTGTTACACTTCTATAATGTGACAGGCCTTATAGATTAGAGGAGAGTAGTGGGCACAATATACCATGACTTCAGCAAGGTTTTTGACACTTTTTCATATACCATTCTCATTAACTAGCTAAGGAAATAGAGACTACATGAAAGTACTATAAGGTGGATACATAACTGGCTAGATCATTGTGCTCAATGAGTAGTCATCAGTGGCTCAATGTCTAGTTGTGGCGAGGCATCAAGTGAGTTCCCCCATGGTCTTTCCTGGGTCTGGCATTGTTCAATATCTTTGTTAATGATTTGGATTAGTGGAGTAAGTGCATGCTTAGAAAATTTGTGGATGGCAGTAAATTGCATGGATTTGCAGACACTCTGGAGTGTAGGGTTAGGATCAAAAAAGAAATGGGTAGACTGGAAAAGTAGTCCTCAGTCAACCAAATGAAATTTAGTAAAGATAAATGTAAAATCCTTATTTCATCTTGGAATTAAATAATTGAATGTACAAATAGACTGTAGAGTGACTAGCTAGGCTGCAGTAATACAGAGAATGACCTGTGGGTTACAGTGGACCACAAGCTGAAGGTGAGCCAAGAATGTATTCTTGTTGCAAAAAAAAGCCAGCAGCATACAGGGTTGTATTAACAGAAGCATTGCTTGCAAAGTAAGGGAAGTGATTCTTCCACTCTGTTCAGCATTGGTGAGGCCTCAACAGTTGTATTGTGTTCAGTTTGGGGCCTACACTTCAAGAAGGATGTAGGCAGATTAGAAAGAATTCAACAGAAAGGATCAAACATAATTAGAGGCGTGGGAAGCATGACTTAAGAGGGAAGGCTGAAAGAACTAGGGTTTATTGTGGAAAAGAGAAGGCTGAGGGAAGATTGGATAACAGTCTTCAAATATCTGAAAGTTGATTATAGAGATGATGGAGATGACATTTCTCTGTGGCTGTAGGGGGAAGGACTTAGGAGCAATGGCCTCAAGGTGCAGCAAAGGAAATGTAGGTAGGAGATTAGGATGGTTTAGAGCTACATTCTGATTGGCTGGAAAGCACTGTCTGATTATGGCACAAATTCATACCAAGTCACCATAGTGTATAGCTGGAACATCAGCACTTGAACAAAATATGCATCTCTAGCCATATTTTGCCTAGTGGATGTAGGGAGAAATTGTAGAAGAAAAAATATTTTGTAAAACATATCCCTCCCCCTTCTGTACAGTTGGCTTCCCTCCCCCATATCTAATCCCTATTCTCTGCTTTCACTAAATCTAGTTTTCCTCGAGGAACTGAAGTACAATTGTCCTCAATAGATTTCCTCATAGGCTTGAATTTAAACCCATGCATGTAAGTGTTTTCAAGCACTTACCTTGTAGTTCTTGCCTTGATAAGATGAACTAATTTCACATGTGTTGTTTCCTGTTGTGCTGGGAGATGGATGATTGTTGCCTACTCTATATTTAAACTGTGAGATGTATTTCTCATGTGCTCAGAAAAATCTTCAATGCTGTATTTTTGTTTTAAGAGTCCTTTGATTTATTGGAATTGATCCTCCTGAATTAACTGTTGTTTAAAGGCTCATTCTGTTGCTACCATGATAACTCGTGCCACAACTATGGTTTCATCAATATTGGAATGATGTGATTCTTGTACATGAACGGAGATTTGAGCAGTGAGAGTCAGGACCATTTAATAGAAACACTACACATGAAGGAGATTTGTAGGTTGCTAACTACAGGTTTGATGTGAATGATAGATTGAAGTCTATTAAGGCCACTCTCCACTTCACAGTAGAGGCGAGAGTGAACTTAAATTTGAATCCCATGGAAAGAATACTGTCCAGGGCCACATCATATATCTCCTGGCTGACATACAGAGCAATTGTCTTGTGATATGTATATTTTAGCCTAAGTAAAAGTATTTTTACCTGCAAACCTGTCTGGGAAATCTGAACAGACTTTGTGGTCTGCTCTTGGCTGCACTGCTCTACATTCCACTTGTTCTGTCTAGCATTAGGGAGAGTTACAAAAGACTCACAATGTGCTGTCCACTCTAAAAACAATATCCAGAAAGCACCTAGAGCCTCCAGGGTACAGAGAGAGAAACAATTCTTCTGGACCAAGCAGTGGAATACATGCTGCAGTATCAGGGGAGCTGATAATAGAATGCTTTCATTAATAGAAGCAGGCACCCAGTAATTCACACCAGTGTAGTTTTACTCAGACATGTCCTAGTGTAGCTCTTAAATTACACCCATGTCCTGTACTTATTCTTGTTCCTGACTATGTAAGGGCAGGATAGGCCCATATAAACATCGTGGGACTAGGCCTGAAGAATCTCCATACCTGTCTTACAGTTCCAATGCAGCTGTATCCATACTAATACTGGTGAAAAAAAACTTATATTTTGGTTCCAGGTATTCTTAAAAGCTAAGAGACTATTTTTTATAATGGTAAAAAATACAGGCAACTTGCAACCATTACAGGTTGCATTATTAATAGTGAAAATACAGCTTCACCTTTCCTGAAGCAGAAATAAAAGTAAGAAATATCCTATTATAAACAATGCCACACAGTCTATATCTTGTAGAACTAGTTGAAATTTTTCCAGTGAAAAATTTGATTTTTATCTTCTTTTTTCAGTAAAGTATTTGCTTTCCCTGATTTTTTAAAATTATTATTTAAAAACCAAGCACTGGAAAACAAATTCCTGTTTCTTTGGAAGCTTACTGTTATATTCTGAGTTTATCATTATGTGACCAAAATTAAATAGACCTTCCAGATCTTATGTCTGCTTCTAGTTATGGGATATGCAAGCTAGTCAGGGATATTTCTAAAGCAGGGGTGGGAAATTAGTTCAAGTGGAGGGCTGCTTACTGAGTTTAAGGTGAGCTGTCGAGGGCTGCAGGGATAGCCTTGTCCCTTGACAGCTGCCCTGCCCCCGGTCACCATATTGGAACCGGAAGTCCCATCCCCTACCCTCTGACCTTTGCCACCAGAAATCCCTCTCCTTGTCCTGGAAGTACTCCTTTTGGGAGGGAGGGTGCAACAATCTAGCTTCACCAGGGGTGGGGCCACAGGAGGACTTGAGGAAACCTCCCAACCAAGACAGGTGATGTGCACAAGGCGTACCCAGGTAAGCAACAGGGGTCCAGATAGCCCTAGGAATCAGGTGGTGGCACACACACCAATTCAAGGCCTTAAATGCCTCTACACCAATGCTCATAGTATGGGGAATAAGCAGGAGGAAATCGCCCTCCAGATAGCTAGTTCAAACCCGGACATAGTAGGGCTCATAGAAACCTGGTGGGATTCATCCCATGACTGGGCGGTTAACATTAGGGGCTATAGACTATACAAGCGGGATAGAACGGGGAGGAAAGGTGGGGGTGTGGTGCTCTATGTCAAAGAGCAATACACATCCTCAGCCAGCAGGATGGGGTGTGAGGAGGGGCAGGCTGAAGTGCTCTGGGTCAGGATACAGGGGGGGCATGGGGAAAGGGACTTAATGGTGGGGGTCTACTACAGACCTCCCAACCAAGGGGAAGAGCTGGACCACGAATTCTCAGGTCAGCTTGCGGAGGCACTTAAGGCAAGGGATGTAGTTGTCATGGGTGATTTAAATTACCTGGACATCTGCTGGGAGGAGGTTCCTTGCTGAAATACAGGACCTCCACTTAACCCAGGAGGTGCACAGTCCCACCAGGGGGAATGCCCTGATGGATCTGGTCCTGGCCACAGGCAATGATCTAGTGAGGGGACTCCAGGTCCTCGACACACCTGGGCAATAGCGATCATCGCTTGCTGTAATTCACCATCCAGCGCAGGGTGTCAAGGTACTGCAGCAAGGCAGGAGCCCTTGACTTGAAGGGGGCCACCTTCAGTGAGTTGAGGAGATTAGTGGGAGAGGCACTGGGGTCCTGGAGAGTAGGGGAACTGGGTGCCCAAGATGAGTGGTCGTTCCTTAAGGAGACAATACTCAGAGTCCAAGGGGTGACAATCCCAACGAGAAGCAAAGAGGGCAAGAGTGCCCAAAAGCCCCCCTGGCTCACCAAAGGCATTTGGGAATGCCTGATCACCAAAAAGGAGGCATACACCCAGTGGAAGGGAGGGGCTATCACCAAAGAGGAGTATACCTCTACCGCTCGGGTCTGTAGCGGGGCTGTTAGAAAAGCTAAGGCAGATATGGAACTAGGGCTAGAATCAAGTATAACAAAAAGTCCTTTTTTAAATACATAGGGAGTATGAAGAAGGCACTGGGTAATGTGGGGCCCCTGCAGGATATGCTTGGCAATCTGATGGTTGCACCAGAGGAGGAAGCAGATCTCTTTAACAATTTCTTCACCTCCATTTTCTTGTGCAGGGGCTGGGACTCCCCTACCAAGATTCAGGATGGACTCAGGAGAGACTCCGCCAGGCCTAGGCTCATGGAGGACTGAGTTAGGAAATTTCTGGAGGGGCTGGACGTGTTCAAACCAGCAGGTCCAGATGCTCTCCACCCCAGGATGTTGAGGGAATTGGCAGGGGTTATCACGCGGCCCCTGGCATGACTTTACGAGCACTTGTGGTGCTCTGGCCAGGTGCTGGACAACTGGAAGAAGGCCAATGTGGTCCACATCTTCAAAAGAGGGAAGAGGGAGGACCTGGACAACTATAGGCCCATTAGTCTTACTTCAATCCTGGGGAAGCTCT